CCCATAGGAACACACACACACACACACACACACACACACACACACACACCCTTTGTTCTGAGATACCTCTCAGCCCCGTACGTGTTCACCAAAAATCACTGTAGAATAAAGACAGCCCTGCTATACAGTATGCAGTCCCACACCAACTTTTACCAAATGCACAGTGCCCTCAGACAGACACAGTCCAGGCACAGAAAGACTCCAGTACAGTCATGGCACGTACAGCACCGACAGATCTGCAAGCTCCCATCTCTAGCCATCAAGACCCACGTGTAGGGCACACATTGAAGGGGGTGCTTGAACACAAAGTTTGGGAGTACATGGGTTATAAACCAATTTTCACGTTTACCGAAACAACATTTTTCTCCGTCTTTCTGGAGAGAAAGACAGAAGAGAAAATGGCTTCTGTTTCATTACCACCAACTATATATACAGATATATCTGTATATAGATATAGATATATCTATATATCTATATCTATATATAGAGAGAGAGAGAGAGCGAGAGATAGGTATAGATATATAGAGAGATAGAGAGAGAGATATAGGTATAGATATATAGACACATTAATCACATGCACAAACAGTATGTTAAAAGAACATTCTTAACATTGCAAAGTCAAGCTCTCAAACCTGGGAGATGTCAGGATTAAGAAAACCCGTGCCATCTTAAATTTGCCCCTTTTGGGTATGCGAGTTATGCTTCAGTCTTTGATTGCCTTTGATCACATACTATGTGTTCGACATGACCACTGTCTCATTCAGTGCTCAATTAATGAACAGCTGTTCCACACTGCATCTTCCTCACTCAGCATGTGTCTCCAAGCCTCGCTTCCTGCGCACTATTCCAACCCTGCTCCAAAAGGAGCATTATTCATTTCCTCCGAATTATTAGTTTTGCAGTGATGCTCATAACTAGAGTATCCCAGAGCCTTGCAAACACAAATTAATTTGTTTTCATAGTGATATGAAGAGTCCATGTCCTCATTTTGCCGATGGAGAATTGAGGCACAAAAACCCTGGACTCTAAATGGTCACTGATTTGGGGTGCCGACATGGGACACCTAAGGGGTGTAGTGACAGAATGGGGTAAGGCAGCTTGCTACAGCTCTGGAGATGTGAGTTAAAGACCTGCCCTGGACTCATGCCAAATGACCCAGCTGTAAATGGGTACTACTTGCTCCTTCGGGCTGGAGCATCAAAGGCAGCTGGATGTAATGCTGGCCACATCACTCCTTTGTTTGCTGTGGGCTACAAAAGCTGGTATGCGTTAACCACAATCTTCAGCACTCCCTCGCCATTGAGGATGATTGCCTTCCATGACTGCCTTATCTGTGGGTCTGAAGATGGCTGGCGAGGCTGATCTGGGCTTGACAGACCCTGCTGCAACTTGGGCACATGTTTCTGTGTGGGGTAGGAGGCCCTGGGTTTTTGATTTGGGCTGTGATGTGCTGTTTCTGTCACTCCCGGGTTTCCGTCTCGTGTTGTCATTGTAAGGTATCAAAGTCCTGAGATCCTTGCAGCAGACTCTTTCTCCTTTTGGGGTGGTCCGGGCTGATAGTCTCTCATGAGTTGATGTCCATATTGCATTTTTTCCAAGCTGGCCTTGAAGACATCCTTGAAGTATTTTCTCTGCCCTCCTCTCGAGTGTACGCCTTAATTGAGCTATGAGAAGAAACCTTGCTTTAGGAATCTGGAGTCAGACATCTGGATGGGTGTCAGACATCCGGACAATGGGAGACTGGTGGTAGCACTTGAGGTGCTTTGAAGTCCATTGTCACCAGTGTCCGTGAAGAGATGCTTGGATTTTTGACTGGGAAACATCAAGACTGGTTTGATGAGCATGAAGGGAAGACCCAAGAGTTAATCAGCTGCAAGCGCAAGGCCTTTTGTGCTTGGCAGAAGGACATCAACTCCCAGCAAGCCCAGGCAGAGGTCCAAAGGAGGACCTGCAATATGAAGAATAGCTGGTGGGAAGACAAGGTGAAGGAGATTCAACTTCTTGCTGACATCCACGCTATGCATGGGTTTTTTTCAGTGTCAACAAAGCCATCTACGGTCCGAGCACCCAGGGACCGACCCTCTTGAGACCTAAGGACGGAGGAGATCTGATCAAGGACAGGGGACCCATCAATCCCATTAGAAGGAGCATTTTGAAGACCTTCTCAATTGAGACTCGGTTGTTGACAAGGGAGCTCTTAATTCCATCCCGCAACACCCAGTCTGAGACAATCTCAAAATCCCTCCCGCCCTTGATAAGGTTAGCCACAACAGGCTGCTAGGCTCAGGAGGACCTTAGACGTGATGTGATAAGAACCTGACTTCTCAGAGCACATAGCATTATGCAGCACTATTTATGTTCAGACCACTCATTAGCTTGAGTGCTCAGCTCTTCTGTAAATCTGCTACCAGGACCTTAAGTCGGAAATGTGGAAAACGCAATTAGTACTCAACCATGAAACACTTTAAGTGACTTGCCCAGCATCGAATGGCAGCTCTGTGGCAGAGGCAGGGACTGAATCCAGTTCTCCAGGGCAGCATTCAACCGCCCTAACCATTCATTGTCCTTTCTCTTTTGGCAACCTCTATTGCTTTCACTACACAACGCCTGTGCACTGAATGAGACGGGGTTCTCTGGGAAAAACAGCATGTGATCATGTAATTAAAGGCTGTAACATAACTCATATATAGTGGCATACTACTGATACCCCACAAGTCCCTAGCAAGACCAAAACTGTTAGCAAGACCACAGGCCTGTGCTGCTTGAGCTATTGGAGCACCTCCGAGCGAGATATTACCTTTGGGATGTGTTCTAATCAATAGATGGGGACAAAATGCTACAGTTAAAATAGTTAAATATAGTTCAATAGTTAAAATAGTTAAAATGCTATAGCCTGGGTTAAAAAGGTTTCCAGAAGCAGCCTTCTTGACTTCTTTGATTTATACCCTTGAACAACCTGGGCAATGCCAGGTTCTCATAGGTAGGATATAAATTTGGCTTGAATGCAGAGCAGTTTCTTGCTACAAGGGGCAGCAAAGAGCTGAGGATTTGGGTCTACATGGACCTGAATTCCCAGCTTGCACTGGAGAGAATCGGAGTCACTGGCACAAATACCTAACACGCCACAGGCTGCATCCATGTGTGAGTACTGGAGAGACGATCGCTTGTACACGACGTGCGGGCTTCCCTCGCCCTCGTTCCCTGTGCTGACGTTGGCTCCTGGGCTCAGCGGCTCAATGAAATACTCCTCTTCATCTGCGACTATCACCCCACGCTGCAAAAGGAAAGGTTGGGGGAATAAAAGGAAAAGAGGAGAGAAGTAAGGTGATATGTCCCTTGTGTAAAATTCCCTGCCGGTTCCCTTCCCCCCATTAGATAAACTGGGCAAGAAAGGTCTGCTGCCATGGCAGACACTTAACAATGCACATTATATTAATTCATATTAAGCCCTCTATATACTGCAAACGATTTTTAAAGGGCCTTAGTGTAAATGAGAACCGGGCCTTGAAAGCACAAATTCCAATTAGCCATGACACAGATGAGTTTTATGCATATGCATGCGTGCACGCCCGCATGCACACGGGTACACATGCACACACGTGCAAGCACACACACATGCACATTAGTAGACTGAATGGACCCGAGGGAACAGAGCTGGGTGCAGAATTAACACACACAAAAAATTAAATTTGGTAAATTTAGCTCCCTCAATGCTCTCCGAATGAGCGATGAACAGAGCTGCGGAGACTGTCTGTTGACCCGTGAGCAGCCATTTGCAAAACAGCAGCTGTAAAATATTATCGCGGAGATTTGTTAGCACTTTACACACATGCTGCACTGGTAGAGGGCAAGAGAAGAGGCAGGGCAATGGGGACCCTATTGCTTTGATTTTTACACTTTGTTATTCCTAATTGTATGAGAAATGGTTTGTGTGAACAAATTTCATCCCAGGACTATTTGTTAGCTGAGCGGGTTGAACAGCTTCACATAGAGGAGATTTTTTCCAGAAGTTAGTCCCATTTTTGATTAGCAAATCATTCCCACCCCAAACCCCTTATTCAACAGCGCTCACACAGTGGGTTTGACCAAATCCAGCCAGCCGATTGCTCATTAGGCATTCTTTTTGCCCCTTCGTTATGCACGTTGTGTGATCAGTCCCCTAAGTGGCATGGTAGTTACTTCTGCAGCGCATCCTAATTCCATAACCGAACGCTTTAGAACGAGAGGATCATGAGTGACATGCAATGACCTTTCATAATGAATTTGCAGACAGCTAATCGTTCCCGATCAATGATGTGACATTCTGGGGATTCATGAGCATTTCTATGAATGTGCAGTGATCCTTCATGCACAAATGGACATATGACCATGTAGGTCAGAGCGAGCTGAACCTGGTGCTTGCGATTCTTGTGGACACTCAGCGCCAATAGGACACTCAACATCGTGGATGCTCCACATCCTCCTTTGACAATCCCAGCCTTTCTTTGCAAACTTATCAATGTGCAGTTTCCTAGTCAATCAGCTCTGCTCACCAGTGGAGGCTCAGGGTGATTGTGGGATTATGTCAGTGGTGGGCAATTATTTCGGGCCGTTTACCAAGCTTTGGCAAGCCATTGAGGGCTGCATGCCAGGCAACCAGGGGCAGATTAATATTAATTTTCTAATTTTTTAGGGGCCCCGTGGGCCGGATGGAATGGCCTGGTGGGCCGCATCCGGCCCCCGGGCCGCATTTTGCCCACCCCTGGATTATGTGTATTTGCCACGAGCATTATTTTCAGTACTATTCAATTATCACTCCTAGGTGTGATACAGCATTTTTACATGCATTTAAATACACCAGGTAATATACCTGGGGACTTTGAAGATCCCACGAGGCAGGCACCTATCAGCAGCTTTATACACCCAAATAGCTTTAAAAATCCCGCCCAATTTCCTTCAGTAATCCAATGGATGAGATGGGATTATAACCCAAGTCTAAGGCCACTGCTTTAACTGCTCAGCTCTGCTGCCACAATTTATTACATTAAGTGGTTGTCATAGCCTGTATCACCTACTTCCTCTTGAAGTTGAGTTGGTCTAATAAAAGACTGTGAGTTGGTCCAAAAGACTTTGAGTTGGTCCAGTAAAAGATATCAGATTTCCCCAAAGGACCTTGTCTGCCTATGTCCTTAGACCAACATGGCTACAACCTGCACCCCTCCTTCCTTTTGTGTTTTTTTCCCTTTGGCTGAACATCTCTCAGCTCTCTAACTTGCTAGAAATGGCTGTGCACGTGAAACGCGGCTCTTATCAACATCCACAAAAAGCAGTGGAAAAGACCTGGGCCTGATCAAAATCTGCCTCCGAACCAGGAGAAGTTTGCAAATACTTTTCCCTACATACCACTAAGCTCTAGTTCTGCCTAATGATCCAGGTGATCTACCAGGGTCCTCCAAGATCTGTAGGAGAAACCCTATCCAAGGTACATACCTACCTGCCCCATATTATTGTAATACCTGAGCACCTCAACACTCCTACTGAATCTATTCTCATACAACGCAGTGAGGCAAGGCAGTGCTATCCCTCCCATTTTACAGTTGGGTAGTGGAGTGACAGTGAGACAAGGTGACTTGGTCACAGGGACAGGGAAGAGAACAAGAACTGGGTACTCTAAATACCAGGGTAGCATCTAACCATTGGACCATCCTCCCTCTCCAGCCTAGACACTGAAGCACAGCCCTGAGAACAGAGGCATCTGTTACAATCTCTGCCACAGCTTGGCTTTCAGCAAGGCGCTTCACCCCTTTGTCCCTAAGCTTTCTCCTCTTTAAAAGGGGAATAACAATACTGAGCTGCCTGGAAGATGCGGGGAAATGAAAATGCCTCGAAACCATCCTGCAATGCTAGTTTGGAAGGTGCAACCTCACGAAAAGTGCTGTTGCTGAGCGAGTGGGGTGAGCCTTTTTTAGGGGTCAAAGCTGCCTCCTTAATAGGTCTTTCTCTGTCTCCTTCCCCACCCTCCCGCCCCACTGTGAAAGCTGAATCAGGGCAGTGT